TCTTTAACACTGAAGCCGAAATCCGGGGTGCGGTTACTATTAGGTATGCGGTTTATAATAAGATTTTAACGGTATTCGTGGGAGCAAACATCTGTGCATTTTTATCACATGACAAACACAATTGGTGGAAAATTCTCTGAAAACTGTACTTTGCACTAGTTGTTGAGACTACGTATATAAATGATTATCCCTACGTATATAAATGTTGTTGTTCCAGATTTTCTCATAGTAGAGTTGTTTTCAACGGCTCTTTGACTTGTGTTCCACAGAACAGAGCCAACACAGAATACCTGGTACAGTGCTGTGCATCTTAGCCATACAGAACATTCTGTGATTTGGGTCCATAGCACTAAGTGCCAAATGATTTCCAAGACTTTTCCAGACCTTTTCCCAGACTTTCTTGCACCCCCCAAGACATTTTGACCCTTAATTAATGCCAACATCATCACCAAAGCTCATCAAAGTTCTGAGGATATGGTAGTTCTCTGGAGAAAACGGGCCTTTCTAAAATGAATTAATAACTATGAAGAAATTTAAAGACTTTTCAAAGATAATTTTATTTTTCTTGTAATTTAAAGACAACTCAAAGACTTGCCAGACCTCAAAAAAAACCAAATACTTTCAAAAGATTTTCCCAACCCTGACCCTGGTGATCGACATAGCTTTGCCCCCAAATTTATACATACATTTATCTAAAGAGCTCTCTTTGCCCACTCAAGCCAAACTCTGATTTTTAACCACATAAATCATATACTTACCATTTGTTCTTTTTTCTGAGAAAATCTTTTTCAGATAGATTAATAAGATAAATCATTGGTTTTGAAGTCAGCAAAAGATGTTTATTCAGAAGTTCAATCTAAAAACAAAATGAATCAAAGTTAAACTGTAAATAGCTCCCGTGTGATCAGAGCATGTATTATAATGGTATAGGCTTTGCTTAATAAGTGAATGTAATTGCATGTAGGTCAATCCATCAATAAAATTGATCAAGATGTCTGAGAATCTATGACATACTGTATATGGAAACACATGATTTTGATATGGGCATTTTGAAAAACATGCAAGGACACTATACTTGTAAACAAAGGGCACTAATGAGCACTCTATGAATGAGGTATTTCTAGAGGTTGGGGTTTGTCTCGTCTGCAGTTGAATAATTTTTGCTTTGATTTTCTTATGGGTTTTTTTCCCAATGCGACTTAATTTCACTTGTTTTTTTTAATTCTTGGTAATTAGTGTCATTAGCAACGAAGTAGTAAAAACCGCAATTAACCTCAGTGCAGCAAATCGGGATAGATCTTCTTGACGCTATGGGCAAATTTCGCTATTTTCGCTGACAAGTAAAATCTGCTAAATTAAACCTACGTGAACATGTAAAGTAACAACAGATTGTTTCCTTGACAGATTCTTGAAATTAAATCATCAAAATAGTACAACTAAAAAGATAAATAAAAACATCATAGTTTAATGTTCGTCCGGACTTTGAGCCCTTGAAA